TGAGCTAGAGGTAATCAAATAAAGCCATATTCAACACAGTCATAACACCTGAGATTGAATTATCTGATAGCAAGACGTCTCAAACCCTGGTGAGCAGTCCAAAAACGGCATATTTGGGTATCGAAGGCTTTCTAGGTCAAGGACGTCTACATAATACCTGCTGCTATCTATCCATTAGCATTCCCATTCATCTCAATAGCAGTTAGCACAGGAACTCTGGAAGTGCAATCATATTAATTCAGACAAACCGCATCTTTTTCTCAGTTTTGGCTTTTCATCCCCACTGAGATGGTGTTTTTGTCGAGCGAAAATGGAGGCTTTTGAAAAAGCAGTCCTAAGTGGATAAATTTGCATTGTAATGATGATTGTGAGAACAAGGTTCATGAAAACAATGACATGTTCAGTCATGTGATGCATATTGTTTCGATAGATATGTGTAGTTGTGTCTGCTATTTACTTAACATTTTTGCTTACGATAAATGCTACTTTTCACAATCTTCATATTATATTCCTGCAAAGATGATAGAATATTTTCTCACAAATGCTGCCAGTTTCAAATATATCTGGATTAATGTGGATATAGCCTAACCTAACTTTAAAACAAACTCAGAAATCGCTTGTAAATTTCACAATTACAAAGAAACAGCAAGTAACACATTGACTTAAACATGAATTAAACATGCATTTTCTTGTAAAACATATTCCACTAAGTTTTATTAATAAGTACAACACTCCTTTTTTACAGTGTATATGACATGAGCCAGTGAAATTGCATCTGCCTTCTTTACTTCCATGTTTTTTATTTTAGTCACCCATGTTGCTTACAATCTACAATAATCAGCCCATCATTGAATTAAAATCATGTGAAATTGCAGTTCACTGGCCAACTGGCAAGTAACTGTGTTTTATTTACCCACCAATGCCCATGTTAAATCTCATTTGGCGCTTAGTGAGTGTTCATTTTGGATCCTGCTTGCACCTAGCTGTGATGTCAAAGGCAGCAGACCTTGAAAATACATTTCACGCTTTTAAGAGCCCTGTAAAAAAATACTGGGCACCGCTTGCATATGTTGCTTGCAAAAAAAACTACTTTAGAAACTACTGTCCGTCAGTGCTTTTTGGGTCTAGCTGGGATAGATACTACATCAACTGCTCCATTCTAACCAGCCAAATCTTGACCTATTGGAACCGGTATTGCTAGGTTTCAAGTGAAAGCAATAGCTATTCAGACATCCTAACATTCAGTTTAATGAAGCAGCCCAAAGTGATGGTGCACAGCGTGTGTTCTCTTTAAATACTGATGAACTGATCTGCGTGCGGCGTCAAGGCTGTTGATCTTCTTATAACGCTCGTCTCTCGTTATGTGTTTTTAATGTCGTCGTTTTTCCTTTGTGCCGTTTCTCTAGCAACTGCTCAAGCTTCGCGAATATTTATTTATTTATTCATTTTTTAATTTTTTTATAATAAGTAAAAAAAAATAATAATAATAATAATAATAAACTCCCTGGTTTAAAACCTCTGGTTTAAAAAAAACACTCAACAATTTCTATCTAATTTCTATTAGAATTGGGTTTGTTTGTTTCTTTCTTTTCTCCACTTTGCACTGAAATTTTTAATACATTTTCAGCTGGACACACAATGTTATACATATATGAATTTTGAAATTTTCTGAAAAATTAATATATGTTTCTGAACTTTTCTTCTAAAATGAGATTCTGTCTGGTGAGGAGATGAGATGAGACGAGACGGCTGTCAGTTTGAGGACGGCGTGTATTAATGAGTCTGTCCTGCTGAACGCTCTCCAGGGATTCAGATCAGAACGGGAATATCTGATTCCCTGCACTCTAATTAAAGGAACATGAGCTCAGGATGAGTCTCAGTGTTCAAAACGATGAAAAGCAGTGTGAAATTCTTGCATTAGACTCCCCTGTTTACAAGCACTCAGACATTTGAGTGCTTTTATATTAATGCATAAACATAACAGGCATAATTTCAGAGATAAGATGGCAATGATGCAGTGGGGATGTTTGGAAAATAATGCAGGTACTGTGTTTAAAACAGTGGTTCTTGACATTTTGGATTTGAAGTCTATCTATCTATCTATACTGATACAAACCTCTGGTACTCCCATTGTAATAGACATAAATAAATACAATAAATAAACAAACAAACAAAAAATTGATGTCAGATTAATTTTGTACATCTTTCATTTAAGTGTTTTTAGCATTAATTAAAATTATTAATATAACTAAAATGACATATTTTTAATATTATAAAAGGTTTAGTAATTTCACTTTAATGGCAATGAATAGGTTATTTAGGTTTTCTTTTCAATAACTGAACATAAATATAGAAGCCTGAGAAAAATGCTCATTTTAGAAGAGAATTTCAGACAGCACTTAGAGGCTTTTGCATCCGAACTCATATATATATATATATATTCCCCCTTAAATATATATTTTTTTCTAACTAACTTTTCAAATTTCATTATTTATATAAATGTATTTTAATGGATTTCTTCAACGGATTTCATCCTCCTACTCATGCTAATCCTGTCCATAATAGTCACAAAGAATTACATTTTAAATGATCATCTTTCTGATAATATTTCACACTTAATTGTCTTGTCTTTTTTTAATTCTCACTGTTAATTGTCTCTCAACACTGTATTGAATTCTTGATGAATTCATGTTGACATGCACATTTGTGTTGTCACATTGGCGTGTTATGCTCGTAATGGTGTGGGTTCACGCAATCTTGACGTGAGAGAAACACGCTCCTTGCATATAATTTATGTGGATGAGCAGGCCCATGCAACAAATTCGAAAGGTTTTTCCTCAAAATCCAGACAGGAAATGCAAAACAATCCTGCGTTTGGTCCTCTTGAAGCGTTCAGGTGTTCAGAGCTAATGGCAGCTCTGCAGCTCCAGCCACTCGCCACACCAGCGGCTACAACAAGCCGCTTTCAATTAACCGCGTCAACAGAGCTCTTATTCACCAAAACACGGGAACTGTGTTGCTTAGGGGACGAACACAGCAAAAGCATGCTCATTCATGTATGAAATTTGGGAAAAGTGACATTTAAATCAGACTGAGTTTCAAATTTAACTTTGACAATTTGAGAAGGCTAAACGATGCATGCCTCAAATTTGATAGCCTGTTATCTTGTACAGACAGATGTTGTTATCTCACTTTTCCTTATCTGGTACCGTGGAGCGGATCGTTTTAGGTTAAGTTTGGGCTTCATCACCTCCAAGACTAATCATTTTGGAAATGGTTGGTCGGCTGCTCATCATTCAGACCAGGAGAAATGTCTGCATGTGGTACAGGTTTGATTGGCACGCTGCGGTGGAATTTATCTCGCCACCACTGATCCGTGCTGAAGGAGGGTTCGAGGCATCAGCGTGTGCATTGATGAATCACCTGAGACAGACTCATTAATGGAAGAAATGAAAATCAATTTTAACACAGCCGTTCCTCCTATAGATCTGTGCCCATCGCTTGCGAGAGCAGTTTATTGTTTTCTGCTGGATGAATGTGTTGTGTGTGTCGTACATCAGTCTGTACGTGTGCGTCTCAGTGTTTGCTCTTCCGTCTCTTGCTGTGATAAACTTCATTTATATTTCTTCTAGAATCCTAGAATATCTGTCGTAGAGTTTTGTGCGCCGTCCCGAATTCACTCACTGCATTAAAAAGCAGTAAACCACGAGAGGCCTTTTACTTAACAGAAATACGATAAAAGATGCAAATATTATTATTATTATTATTAATTTATTGTGTATTAGGATCCCCTTGAAACAATGTATTATTATTATTAAATATTTATATATTTATTATTTTGTGTACTAGGACCCCCTTGAAACAACTTACTATTATTATTGTTATTAATTAAATATTTATATATTTATTTTTGTGTACTTGGACCCCCTTGAAACAAATTATTGTTGTTGTTGTTAATTATATATTTATTAATTATTTTTTGTGTACTAGGACCCCCTTGAATATGAGATGATGCATCTCAAGGGGTTTTTCATAAAGAATTAAATTTGTTACCATTTATTTAGTAATTAAAAAAATATGTATTAATTACAAGAATCAAAATATTTTTTATTTTATATTTTATTTTAATTTCATTAAACAAATATAGAATTCCACCGATGTGGTCACGGGTGTACATACTGTGTATTGGCTATTTCAAAATAGCTTTAAATGGGATTCATCTAATCATATTTAGAGCTGAAGCAATCCGCTTTATAATACAAAGTGTTTACATTTTCTGTAGAAAATGTCATTGGTGTTTGGCCCTCTAAAACTTGCCGTTGGCCAGACAATATTTTCATGATTTTTTATTATATTCTGGCGCCCCCAGGGCACTCTGTATGCTGCCACAAGTCCAAAAAAAAAAAGCCAGACAGAGCCTTTAATATTCTGGTATCTAGATATGGCTTAGGTCTTTCATGGGATTTCTTCACCTGTTTTATCACAGCATGCCGAAAATTGCAAATCAGATCACTTAGAAAAGTAATAACGTGCCTCTCCTCGACAAACCGCGTGATTTGAGATAGCGTTTGTGTATGTAGCCCAGATGGTGCTAATCCAGAGCTTAATACATGGATTTGAGGTTTGTTCAAATCCCTAACCATAAGCATGAGCAATAACAATAGTGATGGCAAACGCCACTAAATATTGCGTCAGCATCAGATTGCGTTACTAATCTCAGCCGAGTGGCTTGAAATGTCTTCCTTCACTCTGCATTTACGCTGCGCTTAATTAGAGTTTCATTGAGCAGGACGAATGCTTTGGAGCTTTGCTGCTTATTTGGCATTTAGAGAAATCCATTTGCAAACGTGACCTTCGGCTCTCGGCGTGTCAGGCCTGTGATTCTGCTCCCTGCCCCGCGGTGTGTCCCGCGTCCTTTAGTTTCCCCGTGTGAACGTGTGTGAGCGCGAGCCTGTGACATATTACTCGCTGACAGCTCTCTCATTCTTTTAATTGACTAGCTGGAGACGGCCGAGCGGGAGGACAGAGGAGGCGAGGAAAGCACCAGTCACGCCAGCGTAAGTGAGAGACGCTGCTCTCATCCACATCAGCGCTCCTCATCACACCTCATACAGGCACCTTCCAGGAGTACGGTACACTGTGGGGTGCTATGGCTTTTTTTGGGGGGAAAAATGTGAATGTTAGAAGCACACATTGCACAAAAAAAAGTTTATGTAGTGAGTTGAAAATGTTAGGTAAGAAATATCATTTATAAAATTAGCCTTCTATGAGCTTTAAACATATCAAATGTCTGTAGGTTTTTTTTTTTTTTACTTGACTTGACTTTCTGACTTGATATTATATACACAACTATTCAAAAGATTTTGAAAAAAGTATGTTATGCTCACCAAGGCTGAATTTAATATTCAAAACTATATAATATATATATATATATTTATTTATTTATTTCTTGTGACACATTATTAGAATGTAAAATAACTGTTTTCAGTCTGAATATAATTTATAATTTATTCCTGAAAATTTTATTTATTCCTGTAGCCAAAGCTGAATTTCCAACATCATTACTCCAGTCTTTAGTGTAAAGAAACATTTCTGATTATTTATTAATGTTGAAAACACTTGCGCTACTTAATATTTATTTTTGTGGAAACCTGTGATGCTTTTTTTTCAGGATTCTTTGATGAAAGTTTAAAAGAACAGCATTTATTTGAAATCAAATTGTTTTGTAACATTATAAATGTCTTTACTGTTACTTATGATCTATTTAATAAATACTTTGCTGAATAAAGTATTGCTTTCTTTTTAAAAAAAAAGACTTTTGAACAGTAGTTTCAATTTTATTTATTTATTTATTTATCATTTTTGATTAGTAATATGCATTGCTAAGAACTTCATTTGGACAACTTTAAAGATGATTTTCTCAATATTTTGTTTTTTTTGCACCCTCAGATTCCAGATTTTCAAATAGTTGTATCTCAGCCAAACATTGTCCTCTCCTAACAAACATACATCAATGCAAAGCTTATGTATTCAGCTTTGTGTAAATCTCAATTTTAAAAAAAATTACCCTTATGACTGGTTTTGTGGTCCAGGGTCACATTTAATTATTTATTTATACATTTTAATACTTTTTTTATTTTAATATATTTTTTTATTTTTTTTATTTTAGATATTAAAAAATGTGCTGTTTGTTTAATGGTAGAAAATAACAAAATCACAGCTACTGACACGGTTGCAAAAATTGCAAACCATATAGAAAATAATTAGAAAATAAAAAAGGATCATGTAATGTTGGTTTGACTAAAGGTTAAGCACCTCCTTTCTCTGACCATTTATAGAAGAAAAAAAGTGTATATTTTGCACCCTATTCGTGGAACGTGTCTATTATTCTGTTCCAGCCTTTTGTTCCTTCCACTCTGCTGCTCTTTCTCTCTATATTTTCCTTCCTGTGCATCACCCTACACCCTGTTCCTGTCCCATTTCCCCTCCTCCATCCTCTCGCAGAACATGACAGATCATTACAGGCCAATCGAGCGCAGGAGAACTTTATTTGTCACGGGATAAATCACTCTGACACAACTGGGCGAGGAGATTTCAGCCCATCAGAGGGCCGGGGTAATGAGGGAGGGGCAGAGGGCCGTGAGAAGAAAACAACTTTCTCTTGTGTTGTTATTTCCTACTGTAGGAGGCGGCGGCGGCTGTGGTGTCCTGCAGCCAGGAGAAGGAGAGCCTGCCGGAGAAAGGGCCTCCCAGCCCGGTGAAGTCAGAGAGAGAGGCTCTGCTCGTGGGTAAGCGTCAAGGGGCAACTGAGAGCACTTTTCACACTTTATCTCATCAGACACAAGACTGTAAAAAAAAAAAACCTCTTCTCATTATTTTCATCATCCACAGCTATGTCTTCTACTTCTAGGGTGCAGGTGTTAATTTCCTGGCCAAATGAGCCTCAAATGAGTCACCTCAGATGCTTTTTAATGAGGAACTTTAATATGTCATCCGCAGCACAGCCGTGAGAGAGAGGCTGCCAAAATCCATGGCCAAAAACAGCCAGAAAGGAAGACATAATTGACTCTGGACGCTTGAATTATTAAAAACAAATGCACACCCTGAGGTAGTACCGAGTTCACAAAGTGGAGTGGCGATGGTTTTCAAAAATTCAGTGATCCCGAGTCACTTATCACATGAACATTTGCTTATGCCAAAAACATTTTCAGGTTTCCAGAATGAGAAACTGATTGTCATGGCATAAGAGAAAGATGTAATCCAGACGTGGATGTGTGTGATGAAGAACACGCAGCACTCTCTGCATGTGTAACTGGCTTGGCACAGCATGTTCGCCAGGGTTTTATTTGTATTTTATTTGGCTTATTTGCCAGTCCAGTGACTGGAAAGAGTGCTGACCGAGCTGATGTCCGGCACATTGCTCTCTGATGAAGAAAGCAGCTTCAGTAAGCTCTAGTGGAGTGGATGCTCCTCCGTCAGTCTCTTTCTTTCCATCAGATCTGTTTGAGCTCATGCTGTGTTTGAGGAGGAGCTAAAGGAGAAGAGACCATGCTCGCATCCAGACATAACGCAGTCACAATGCGATTCAATGCGTTCTTGTAGCAAATCAAATGTGTTTTTGAAAGCAGAGAGGAGCCAGAGCACACGACAGCATCTGAGCTCTTCAAATCGTCCAGCACAGGCGGTTTGATGTCCTTCACTCACTGCGTTCCTCTGCGGTCTATGTCAGTGCTAATGCCACAGTATAGTGAGGCTAATAAATGGAGGTTAAATAAGGCTTACTGTATCATATTTGATACACATATTTCTAAGGGCTCGAAATGATCAAAACTTTGATAAAAATCCTGTTGCAGACAATGTGCTACAAGATTGCCTTCTAATTGGTAGTTTATACTTTAGCAAGTTTTTTTTTAGTATAATTGTAAAAATGTCCACCTTCAGGTCATGAGACGTGTTTTTGCTGTGAAATCTTTAATGTATTTATAAAGTGAACGTAAGAATAACTTTGATATTGTTAGTAATATTTCAGCTAACTGGACTGACACAGCTTAGGTTTACGTGATTATCCATGCATTATTTTTTTTAAATAGAAAAATCACATTTAAATGCGAGTATCAAATATGATCCTCAGGCTCATGTACAGTATTTGTTTATCTCTCATCATCGTTGTATTGCATTGCATTATATGTTTTGCCCCCCATAATGAAAACGATAGAGATTTGATAATAAAACTAAGCAGTCAAACATCATCTTTCTAAGACATTATTGGGAGGCAAAGAGTGACATATGCATTTTGTAAGTAGTCTGCTGTTCTGTTACAAAGATCTCATTGCTTTACTTTACAAACTATCGTTGTTTCATCTTATTTTTTCATCTTATTTTTGGCTATAAAAATATCAGCAGCTGCACCTAATTGTATATTTTGCTCCGTTATGGCCTCTGAATAAAATTAAAAAAATAACATTTTCTTTTTCCTTATGAGCTCCATATCACTAGCCATAAAAGCCTGATGTATCAAATATGGTACTCCAGACTGACTTTTTTTTGTTACATAAAAACATAGATTAGTGTAAATTGAATAATAATATAAAAAGACTGATTACCCCTTGGTTAACTGTAGACAGTGTCTTAACATAGAGGCTAGGTTTATGCAACTGGCCCCTGGGCTTCCTCTATTGACCTCTATCCATCATGGTCTCCTAATAATCCCCACTTAATTGGCTACATCAGTCTCTACTGGAGCCTCCACTGATAGGTGCTGTGTTTGTGGGTCCTGAAAAACTCTATATAAATGTAAAGAATTTCTATTTGCTCCAAGCCTGTTTAACTTCAAGATTTAACTTTAAGATACTGTGGCCACGAATTAAGAATTTGTTCCCATAAGGAAATGAATGAAATGTGGCCACAAATGATTAAGTCGTCGTATCTACATATTCTTCTATATGTCATGTGCGAGGCTCTGTACATTTGACTCTTGCACTATTTTCCACTTATTCTCAAGCAATGTGATGGTCATCGTATATATGCAAATGACAACTGAATATAGCGCACAAGTCATATGAGCTCCTTTTATGATGCTTTCTGTCATTTTTGGAGGTTTACAGCATCTGTTCACTGCTGATTTTCCAGTCTCTGCTTAACTTCTCGTTTTGTTTTAACTGGGAAAAAAAGCAAATCACACAGGTTTGAATGACATGAGGTAGAGTACATTTTATTGGATTTTAAGTAGCCAGCACAGCTGCCAGTTTAGGGTGTTTGTTTAAGCGCATACAGCATTATATCTTCTAGCAGACATGCATGAATTAATAAAACATTGTGTTGCGTTATAAAAGCTCCATTTTCTTTCACCTAACAGTGTTTGGCTTTGGATCAATGTGTGCAAGTGGAAAGACATGGTAATCCAAACACACGGAAATGAAACCATGTATAATATATAAACTATATATCTATAGTCCATCAAGACTAATGGAATATTGACTGTGCGGCACCTGTGCGCTTCTCTCTGGAGAGCTGCTTTGCTTTCCTGATCAGAACATAATGCGTTCAGAATAATTGAGTTATCAGCGCGCACCCATCACATTCAAACCAGAAGTGCTAATAGCAGCCGTTATTGTTATATTCCATATGTTTGAGTGTGTGAATGAAGCACTCAGAAGGCCGAAGAACAGCCTTGATTACGCCAAACAGCATCAAAACTATAATTAAACACTCATAATCATTTAGAAAGTTCAAGAGGCAGAGTTAGCCAATGTGGACATCCACTTGAGGGAAAACAAATCAAGTATTTGGAATCATTTGCGAATCGGCGCTTGGAAATATCAATTGCTGATGCAGTAGCGCTCTGCTCCAAAACCAAGTGAGCTGCCTACTTAGACAGCATTTTAGGGCCTCATAGGCACGCTCTCAAGTCAAGAATTATTCTGTCTTCTACCTCATTTGGGCTGAGATCTGAGGTAGCATTGTATTCTATGTAGAGCAAGCAATGGCAAAATGCAACAAGAATAAATTTATCCAATGTGGATGAAATGTCAATAATTATGATGTTTTGTAAAATAGTAAGTTTTTAATGGATTTCATTGCTAATTTCTATTATTAAATGAAGAAACTTTATATAAATAACTAATGTAAATGTAAAACTAGGGGTTGAACGACTTCTGATTTTTTTTTTAAAGTAGACTTTTATGTGATTGAAGTCGACTAGTCACTGATGACGTCATTAATGAACAAATAAGTCACAGAGCATTGAAGTCGATTAGTTGGTGCAACCCCTATGTAAAACATAACCTAAACAGTTCTATGTAAATTCATTAATAACATATTTATATTTCACATTTTTACAATATGTAATATCGGTCTTGGGTGTCCCCAGAATGCGTCTGTGAAGTTTCAGCCCAAAATACCCAACAGATCATTTATTATAACAGCTGGAAAATGTCATTTTTGGGGTGTGTCTAAAAAAGAGCTGTTTTGGAGTGTTTCACTTTAAATGCAAATGAGCTGTATATTCCCACCCCATCTCCAGAAGAGGAGTAGCGTATATGTCTCTCTGCATTGCATATCTACAGCAATAAACAGCCGGTAGAAGCAACATAACCGAGAGGAGAGAACCGGTGTTCAGCCGTACATATGGGAAGCCAAATGCACTGAAAGTGGGACGAAACGGTGCGATGTTACAGAACTAATCTCACAAACGCGGCACTGATCAGTTAAAAAATACTTAATGTAGGCACACAAATACGGTTGAAACACTAAGCACTATAACGACATGACATTCACAAAGGAGTCTGGAGTGATACACGTATTTAGGTAGATTTTGAGGCGCATTACCTTGAAAAATTAAAGTAATCCACAGTGTCCTCAGCAGCTCAGATGTTGGGAGAAGATGAAGACTCTTATGTTCAGTCTTACGCCCGTCTCACACTGCACGCGTGAGCAGAGGCAGCGCAGAAGCGGCGCGTATGCTGAGCGGGAGCAGTGCGCGCCCATTGTGCTTTCACACTGGCAGCGTTTGTCGCGCAACTGAACCGCGGTTTGTGTACTGCAAATACAGACGAGTATCGTTCATTCGGTCACGCTTTTCAGGTGTTCTCCGACAACTGTCTGTCATGTGCTTAGATATGGGCAGCATGCTGTGATGCAGCCTTGTTCCCCTCTGTCATGTGCATATAACATGCTGTACATATATAATTTACATTATAAAAAGTAATCTTAAAGTTAATAAATGCCTCTAGTTTTAATACTGTAAACAGGCCTTTGAAGTTTGGGCAATAACTCCTGGCAGTGATGTGTTTTCGAGTAGTTGATTCTGTGCTAACTCTAATATAGCCTATATATTTTTTTAATGTTGTAGATTTAAGTAGCAAATGAAAATCGCTAAATTTATTGAATATATTTTGAGACAAAGGTCTTCTTAATGATTATCAGTTTGGTTTAAGATAATTAAAGCAACAGTTTTTCAATAACTAGAAGAATATGTAAAAGTATGGTATTTGGGGTAAAAGCGCCCCTGCTGTTGGGGCGAAAGGCACAATAATTAACATGATAATAAATAGATGGCTGACTTTTCCAATTGTTGACATGACACATGGTTAGATTCAGATGGTAAATATCATATAGCCTATTATGTTGGGTGTCCACCTTAGAGATAATCACCATGTTTATAATGAAACCATCATATGTAAAAACATGATATTAATCATTTCATATAATAAAATACAATTTGTTGTTACTACTGTAAATCTATGTTAACTTATTATGGGATCTCCTTCAATGCTTTCAGAATCTTTACTTTATATTTTGTTTCTGTATTTTAAAATATATTTTTATATTAACATTTTAATGACAGTATATTTATTGAACATTATTTATCAAAATAAGCAGAAAATAGCCTAGTACAAACTTTGCTAAAGTGATTGTTTTGAACAAGTATTAACTAAGTATAAACTTAGCTAAAGTATTTATCAATACTGTGTGCCTTTTTACCCCGTGGTTGTGAAACACAAAACACCTCAAATGATTTTACAGTGAAATGTGTAATTTTTCATGTTAATCAGGTCAATTTTGATCAGGAAAAATGCACTGTGGCTTTAATTCAGCGTAAGCACAAATAGACTCGGCGCCGAAACTATCGCGGCACTGCTCTGCTCCTGCTACATTCACACCGCCTCTGCGTGCGGTGTGAATGCTCTAATCTGTTAACATGCGCGGCGAAAAAAATACGCGCTGCTTACACGTGCGGTAGGGGTTGAACGACTTCTGATTTTTTTAAGTCGACTTTTATGTGATGAAAGTCGAGTCGAAGTCGACTAGTCGCTGATGACGTCATTAATGAACAAATAAGTCTGGAGCTGTGATAAACACCTTGTGCTCAGCTATGGCATATGACACAGCGCTGCCCACATGGCTATTGCTCCTATAACAGCTCGTTTTTATCAGTTCTTTTGTCTTTGGGTCGTTATATTTCTCATAGATTTCTGCTCGTTCTAAATCAGATACAGATAGAGTAGCTCAGTAAAGATGACATTAATATGAATGCATTAGTGAGAGCGATTGCGTGTGTGAATTAATTCTACCTGGCAGCGTCTCTCTACTAGTAGTGAAGCTGTGGGATTTAGTTATTAAGAAATATATGTTTGAACTTTTCAGTTTCTAAGCTATTTTATTGAGAAATCACAGAACAGTGTTGACAATACATTTCCGCGCTGAATGATTCTGTGCGCGTGATGTACGCGCTACTGTCTGTAGCCTATGTGTGTGCGTTACAGTGCAGCAGCGCATTAGATTAGAACAGCGATTAACTTACCTGTACAATAAGCTGTTTAAAACATGCATTCTCCCGTTCAATTTCGAGCATCCAGTAACATAATCACACGTGTCTTGTGGAGCGCTTTCAGAGTATGCATTTATTTGTCATTTTAACTGTTTGGAAAAGGAGCGTAAATGTGGAAGTCCTTCAAAGATTTCTTATCCTGTTGCGCCCTCTATAGGACCAGCGACTAGTCGACGTCAAGCTTAAAGCGTCATGGCAGAGCATTGAAGTCGACCAGTCGATTAGTCGGTGCAACCCCTAGCGTATGAAACGGGCGTTACATGCAAACACAGAGCATCGGGATTGCTTGCGAGACATTGTTGACGTTACAGCTGCTCGAGCGCAGAGAAAAAGAGGACAGCGTACAACCGCTGAGGGTGGAAACTATAGCAATGCACAGCTGTCAATCAACCCCTGTGGCCCCACCCTATAGAATGTGACATCACACTGCATGAGAATCAAAACGAGTGAGACTGACTTGGTTTAAAGGGGATTCAAAAATAAGGAGCAGGTGGATTTTTGTCATTGTAGGGTGGTTGTGTTCACACACTGCCAACACACATTTATGTCCAAACATCATGTTAAAGTGGATTTTGCATAATAGGTGCCCTTTAAATAACTATACAAATACGAATTAATTTATATATTAAGCCAATTTATCTATTTATATAAATATACTTTATTCAAAATACAGTAATTTGTCATTTTATTATATATATATATATATATATATATATATATATACACTGTTCAGTGTATAAAATCAGTCATTTATGAAGTTAATTTTAGTTCGTACTTGGTCTTAAAAACTGGCAGCTTCTGAAAGGTTTTGAAACAGATTTTATATTTATACTGTACTGAAAAATCTATCAGTGATTCATCTTTGGCTTTTCTTCCACAGGAATTATCTCAACGTTTCTTCATGTCCATCCTTTTGGAGCCAGCATCGAATATATCTGCTCCTATTTACAGCGGCTGGACACCAAGGTATGAAACACACACACACACATTTCACTCCTTTTATTTTTACTTCTCATTTTCAGTTAGTTATAATGATGCAATTTAATTTTTTATTTAGCTTCAGTAGTTTTATGGTTTATTGCAGCCGTTCCATCAAACAAACTGCACCCTGAAACAGTAACGTCTTTGAAGTTTATGCGCAAAGTTTTATTTGTCACAATTATAAGAATGCAGCTGCAGTACTTACTGAAAATTAAATGTGCTATAAAAGTGTCAGATTTAGCAGTAAATTGTGGCTATCATCACTCTGGCGTCTCCGGAGTCTTTCTGATTCAGCGTCTTGAGTCATAAGGCCCACACAGGAGAACAACTAATCGCTGGACTCACCAAAGTTTGTGCTGCTCATGACAAAACCTTTAAATTATATTCAAGTGTTTCTTTTGAGACTAAAGTAGCGAGCGTCTTATTTCTTTTTTTGGGCCTTTGATCAGTGGTGGATGAAGAACACAAATCAAGTACTCGGGTAAAAGTACAGATGCCCTAATGAAATATGACTCTAGTAGAAGTACTTGATTTCAATTGTATGAGTAAAAGTGCAAAAAACACTTTATTTAATGTACTTAAGTATCAAAAGTAATTAGTACTGATCGATGAACCCTGTTATTTTTGCAGCCAGCTGTTGTCAGACTAGTCATTACTCAACACTAATAAAAAAAAGATTAGTGCATTCATGTAACATGTATTGTAAGTTTTATTAACTTCTATTACTAAAACTTTTTATACACTACTAAAACACCAAACTTTAATGTACTAAAATATCCATTTAAGCTACTAATATTTCAAGCTGGCAAACATGTATGTCATATAGTATTTTAAAAATAATATGCCATATAGTTTTTCAAAAATTAAGAAAAACAACATTTGTGTAAGTATGTGGTTTTGTATAATTTGAAACGGCTACAGCGGTGGGTGATGGGCATTAATTTGCATTATTTTACCAAAAATAACCAACCCCTTAGAGAGTGTGACACACAAATGCAGATTTAGTTCACAAATAACTGAATCATGACATAAATATGATTTTCATTTACTGTACACTAATCAATACTAAAATTCAGCATTATTAACTTACGTTTTGTACCATCAGTAACATGTACATTCAAGCTCAGACTATGTCGCTGTTCTTGGCTCATTTTGACAAGATCATTCAATCATTGAGCTGTTTATTTATGAACAGCTGCAAATGGTCCAACTCGTGAATGAATCGTTTAGAGTGATTCGTGAATCAATTCAACTGGTTCATTGAAAATAATCTGCACTTTCAAAAATCAGACATCGCTCTCATGGTAAGCCCGATTCGGACGGTAATTGTTTCTTGTGGGGATGTAAGCCATTTTCTACACTTGCAGGGGTTAGTCTGGGATTTTACTGCCGTCCGAATCCAGAATGTCTGTGTTTTTCTCCCACCACCCGTGTAAAAGTCCCCAGTTTTTTGACAGACACCAAGGTTGTGTGGTAATTTAATTGCCAGCCAAATCCACATCTCTGAGTTTACAAGAAGAAATCGATCCAAAATTCACTGTTTAAGTCCTTTTTGACCACTGCTGAGCACTGTACGGTAACTGTTGCACTTCACTGTAATTTGCATGCATTTATACTGGATGGATGGATGGATGGATAGATAGAGTGCAAAAAATATTTATTTTACCAGTTTCCATCTTCATAAAACTTTTCATTAGTGATTATAACCTTGACACATGCACACAGGCTACTCACTCAGACTGAATGTATTTACTGCTTTTTACAGCACCTGCACACACACACACACACACACTGAAAGTATGGCGGTCTGCTTGCCATTCTAATGTTCTGCTGAGTAAACAGCCCTTGAGCAGACAGAAAGAGCTTGCGGGTGTAAAGCTCAGCTCTCACGCTCACAGCAGGACCACACACACATTTCCCACGTGTGTGTGTGTGAGAGAGAGAGCGAGAGAGAGAGAGAGAGAGAGAGAGAGAGA